TCACTGATGAGACCGTTTTCTTGTTCTCCCAGTTCATCCTGAAACAAAACTGGGGAGCAAGTGGGGATGGTGGAGAGGAGTTAATGGGCACAAGGATGCGGCACGGGAGTACTGTTCAGTTAGCATGCCCAGAGTTGGGGTGCTGTTCAGTTAGCGTGCCCAGAGTTGGGGTACTGTGCAGTTAGCATGCCCAGAATTGGGGTACTGTGCAGCTAGCATGCCCAGAGTTGGGGTACTATGAAGTTACCATGCCCAGAGTTGAGGTACTGTGTAGTTAGCATGCCCAGAGTTGGGGTACTGTGCGGTTAGCATGCCCAGAGTTGGGGTGCTGTGCAGTTAGCATGCCCAGAGTTGGGGTACTATGAAGTTACCATGCCCAGAGTTGAGGTACTGTGTAGTTAGCATGCCCAGAGTTGGGGTACTGTGCGGTTAGCATGCCCAGAGTTGGGGTGCTGTGCAGTTAGCATGCCCAGAGTTGGGGAATAAAAAGAGGACAGTGAAGGACAAAGCAGGCCTTTGCACCTGGTGGGAAAATTTGCTCCTGGTTCAAATGGCTTTATTACTCTATCCAAGTCTATATGGCCACCAAACCACTCTCTCCTATCAATCCAATGGCCCAGAGTTTAGTGCTCCATAAACGGAAGAATGGCTAGACCAGGGTTCTACTGGTCTATTCATAATGGGTTACGTTTAATTGTTTCTCCGAGCCCTAAACTCAACAGAGCAAGTCCTCTCCACCTGCCCAGATAAAAGCACATGGATGTGGTGCTGGAGGGATGGTGCAGTGGTCAGCGATACTTGCTGCTCCTGTAGAGGACCTAGGCTTGGTTCCCAGCATCCACAAAATTCCAAGGGATTCTACACCCTCTTCTGACCTCTGTGGATGCCAGGCACATACATGGTGCACAGACATACATGCAGGCAAAACACTCACACATAAAATAAATCTTAAAATATTACGAGAAACAAAACAAGCACAATGACATCCAGATGTTCAGGGATACACCCACAGCTGCAGGAATCAAAACTAAAAGCACTGTCAGCAAACAGAGTTGTCCTTCCCAACCTGGAGAGGCGGCCTGCGGCCTGGAGGAGAGGATGCTGCTGCAGCAGCCACAGCCTGACAGCCATAGCTGGACTGGAACAGGAAAGAGCTAGGACAAGGCACAAGCAGCCACATCTGTCCCCTGGATCAGAACAGCATAACCTCAAATTTGCCGGTGCTCCACTCGTGAGACGGTACAGGACCAGCCCTGACTATACAAGGACAGAGAACCACTCACCTCAAACTCAGGGTGGAAGTGAGCAAAAGTGAACACCTTGGGTGAAAAGCCAATCATTTTACCTTTTGTGTCTTTTTCCCCTCCCTTCCACATTTTGTTTTGTTTGTTTTGTTTTTTGAGACAGGGTTTCTTTATAGTTTTGGAGCCTGTCCTAGAACTAGCTCTTGTAGACCAGGCTGGCCTCGAACTTAGAGATCTGCCTGCCTCTGCCTCCCGAGTGCTGGGATTAAAGGTGTGTGCCACCACCGCCCGGCCCTTCCACATTTTGTTATATAAAACATTTTAAGGGCTGGAGATGGCTAAGTGGTCAAGAGCCCTTGAAGAGAACACGGTATCCACATGGCTCACAACCATTTTAACTCAGTTCCAGGGTATTCAATAAGAACCAGCCAAGCTTGTGATGCAGACATACATGCAAGCAAAACACTATACACACTAACTTTTTCCCCCCTTTTTGAGTCTTCCAAGTGTGGTCAGTGAGTCTCTCCATAATTCTCCAAGATGTACAGGTCATGAGGGTTGGCCTGGCTCTTCAATTCCAGTCAGAGACAGACCCAGAGCCCAGGCATTGCCTCAGGGAGTCCGATGCAGGCTGTGTCCTCTGGTAAGACCTTTCCTGTGCTGAACGTAGGCCTGATTTCTAACTGAGAAAAGAGGAACTGCAGAGACAGGAAACTGACTTTGGGGTGAGTCAGACACAGGAAGAGGAAAACGAAGACACACACTAGGTACAGATGATTTGGTATGTAAGGAAAACCTTAAAAGTTAAACATTTAGCCGGGTGTGCTGGTTCACACCTGCAATCCCAGCACTCTGGAGGCAAAGGCAAGAAGGCTGCGGCCTCCAGTTGTCAGTCAAGGCTGGCCTGGCTACAGAAGATGCTGTCTCAAAACAAGAACGTACTGTGGTTTGAGTGATTAATGTTGCTCAGAAATACGTTTTAGGACACTGGTGATTTTAAAACAGCAAGTCTTTAGGAAATATTTTTAAAATAAAGCAAAGGAAGGCTGCATTTCTTAGTTTATCATTGTGATTGAGACAGTACCACACACGCACGCACGAGCGCTCACACCCACTCCCACACACCCACCCCCACACACAGAGGCACAGGGGCATGCCTGAAGTTCCAAATAGCTAACTGCACCCTCAGCAAGCATGGCTTTCTTTTCTGGGTGCCAACAGCCCTGACTAGATCTAGAATTCTCTATATATTTCAGGCTGGCTTCCAACTCCAAAGACCCACCCAGTTCTCTCTCCTGAGTACTGGGACTGAAGGCTGCACAGCCACGCCGACTCTCACTGCATCTTGATGTTTGTTTCCTGCCAGTGTTCCTGCTGTGCAATGAATGGGTGTGTGCACGCTACAGACGTTGTTAGAGAAGATTGCAGTATTCTGCCACCACTTACTGCCTTGTGCCCTTGAGACCTCTCACAGAACCTGAAGCGGACAGGGCCCCAGGGATCTTCCAGTCCCTCTTTCCCACAGTACAGGAATCAGGGTTTCCTAGCTTTTATTTTAAAAGTTTTATGTGTATGGATAGGCAGGGTGGCACATGCCTTTAGGGAGGCAGAGGCAGGCCGACTTCTCAGTTCAAGGCCAGACTGATCTACATAGTGAGTTCTAAAACAATCACGGTTACAAAAAATTATGTGTGTCTGTATACCACTTGCACAGCTGGTGCCTATAGAGCCAGGGAAGAGCACTGATCTCCTGGAACTAGAGTTCTAGATGGTTATGAATTGTCATGCAGATGCCAGGAATCAAACCAGCTCCTTGGGAAGAGCAGTCAGCGCTCTTACCCACTGAGCCATCTCTCCAGCCCCCCAAGCCTGTTCTGTTTTCAGACAGGGTCTCAGTGTGTAGCCCTGGAACTCACTTTGCAGACCAAACTGGCCTCAAACTCAGAGGTCCACCTGCCTCTGCTTCCGGAGTGCTGGAATTAAAGGTGTGCACCACCCCACATGGATTTTCTCTTTTAATGTGGGTGGCTAGGGACTCAAATTTGAATCCTCATGCTTGGGAGGCCAGTATTTTAACCCACTGAGCCGTCTGTATAGCGCCTCCCGCACACACCCCTCACACAAGCCCCCCACCCCGCACACACACACACACACACACACACACACACACACGCACACACGGACTGAAAAGGGATTGGACTTCTGCTGCAGTGGAGCTGAGAGTCTGCACACACAGCATCGCAGCACATCACACACGGACCTCATCCTCACGACCTCTATCTAGTCCACAACACAAGTGATTAAAAACTAAACCCAGAGCTGTGCAATGGTGGCTCACGCCTTTAATCCCAGCACTCAGGAGGCAAAGGCGGGCGGATCTCTGTGAGTTTGAGGTCTACAAGAGCGAGTTCCAGGACAGGCTAAAAAACAACAACAAAAACCCAACCTAAACCCAGTTCCATTGGCAACAAGAGTCCTGTGTCTAGCCGGTCACTGTGCTTGCTAGGGTATTGGTGCGTTTTCCTCAGAAACTTCCTTTTCAATTTGACGATCATCTTTGGGTGAAAAATGCTTGTCAGCCTGCAGTTCTCAGAGCAGTTGATTCACTTACGCGGACACAGCTCAACTCATCTCTCTCCAGCCTTGTTACTCAGCCCCACGGAACCTCCCACTCATGACACCTTCCTTTTCGGATCATCCTCTCTCCCCAGGTTTTATTGACAGTGAAGATCTTGTACACAACACAAATAAACTCAGTTGTTAGTGCTCAGAAGCCAGGTGATCTCTGTGCTGGAATATCATGTCTCCAGCTTTCAGGAAACAGTTACACACTAATTTAAACACACATAGAAAAAGCTTAAGCATAATCCCGAAGAAGCATGTGTTCTGCAGTTCTTAGCTCTGTAAACAGAATAAAAACACAGCAGCACATACACCACCATACGACAGACTGACACAGTGAATTCTCCACACACACGACCCTGAAACAGGCATATTGCCTTTCCTTTTTAGTTCCTGCTAATAGGATCTCAGCCTTAATTCAGGCTGCCCGGGAAGTCCAAGTGCTCTACATGGCCAAGGAACTTCCAGCCTGTTTCCTGATTTCTAGAAAGTTTTGTTTTTGTTTTGGCAGTGCTCGGGATAGAACCCATGTTTTTCTATTTGGTTAAAAAACTAAAAAATGCTGGGCAGTGTTGGCACACACCTTTAGTCCTAGCATCCAGGAGGCAGAGGGAAGTGATCTCTATGAGTTCGAGGCCAGCCTGGTCTACAGAGAGTTACAGTACAACCAGGGCTACACAGAGAAACCCGGTCTTGGAAAACCAAAAAACCCTAGAAACCACCACCAAAAAACCCTAAGAGATACTAAAAGTTACCTTTCTCTGTGAAAAAAAAAATCTAAGATAAAATCTGTTGTCACAATGAAGATGCACACATGGCTCTTTGTCTTAGTTGTCGTCTCTCAGAAAGTGTTATTTCAAGAGGAGAGATCCTGCTCCTGTGACGTCATCAATGGAGTTTGCCACGGTGAAGCGGCAGACACAATACACAGCACCCTGAAGTCATCGATGGAGTTTGCCATGGTGAAGCGGCAGACACAATACACAGCACCCTGAGGTCATCGATGGAGTTTGCCATGGTGAAGCATCAGACACAATACACAGCACCCTGTTTGCTGGAGACCACGCATTCTGCCAGCATCTCCATCCCTCTGAAACCTCGCACAACCAGCTAGTGTTTGTACTTCTCCTTCACATCTTCCCTGTTCTCCACCAAGTTTCGGCCTAGGGTTGAGAGCTTTGGCTGTCATTTTCTGCACAGTGCGATCCCGTTTTCAACGCCATACAGTGCTCCCTCCACACCGCTTCCTTCTGTGGAGGGCGGGGCTGGAATGGAGGCAGAGCAGAAATCACTAAAATGAAATGTCCGAGCAAACTGGACAAGCAGTTACCAGGGTAAAGAGACCTACCTACTTCCACATGTAGTCGGCTTCTGTGGTTGTTGTTGGGGACTGTAGGCAGGTACTCTACTGCGGGACTATTCCCTCTGGCCCTATAGGCCTTTCTTTGAGACACTTAATCACGGGGTTTAGTTTTGCTTTTTAACTCCATAAACAGTAGCTAGAGTTCACTGAAAGCTCAAAGCCATGCGAAGACCAATGAAACTGCCATCCTACCAACCCGTTACTTCCGACCGCAGACCCTCACTAGCACAGGCAGAGTCTATGCTGTTGAGTGGGCCTTGCCTCAAGCAGTCCTGCCCTGTTTGACAGGGAAGAACTTTTTATATCAGCTTGCTACTGAAAGAGCAGGGCTTTCAGAGCCGTGGTGTGTTTTATGACCATTTCTATGAATATTTCAGTTCTACAATGAAATAATAAAAGTAGATAAAGGCCAGGTATGGTGGCAGAGGCAAGCAGACCTCTATGAGTTCAGAGCCAGTTTGGGCTATATAGAAAAGAATTCCAGACCAGTCAGGGCTACATTTGAGATCCTGCCTCAAATCTACTATCATTGTCCAAATGATAAAGAAAATAAACCACTTTTTAATTTAAATTCTGACTCCATGTCTCTGGGTGTAACTCGATGGTGGTGTTTGTCTGGCAAGCGCAAGGCTTTGGGCTCAGCCTCCTGAGCTGCACACAGTGGGAAACCATGTTAGCGGGCAGGAGTCCTCTGTAAGCACAGATGAGCCAGGGCACGTCTGCAGCACAGGAACCCAACTTTCCTGTACTTCAGTTGGTAGAATGAACCATCTTACACGCAGTCTGTGTCACTCTTTGTAGGCGCCGGAGTTTGAGCCCAGGGTCTTCCGCATGCGAGGCAAACGCTGCACCGCTGAGTGGCAGCTCCAGCTTCAGAAAGTCTTTGAAGAGAAGCGCTAACCATTTTGGCTTTAGAAAATTAAATCAATGAAAAGTACTACCAGTCGTCACATTTTGAAGAAAATACTCCTGTAAGTCACTGGGGGAACGTTGCACGGCTGCTTTTCCACTGAGTTACACACTTCTCGTCTTTTTGGTACAGCCTTCTTTTCTCCGCCAAAGCTCAGGGCCGTTGGACCAGTTTACTCTTACTTCCTTCCTGTTCGCTGAGTTTAAGGTGGGTATAGGTGAGGATGCCGAACAGCGTACACAAGATGCCGAGTCCCTGGTTAACCGACAGCGGGTCCTTAAATAAAACGTATCCTCCGCACAGGGTGATGCAGAACTTGAAGTGTCCGAACATGTTATAACTGAGGTGTTCAGATAAGGAGACAAAGAAGCAATGAGCCAGGTGTTAGGGTCACACAGGTGTGCGTTAACAGCATACACATGACAATGGCTACCTGTGGCTGGAAAGAACTTCATGTAATATGGACTCAACAATCGCCAGGCATCTAAAGAATAGACACTTAGGTGACGTGCTGGGTCAATCAGACTTTCTTCAGGCATGGTTTTAGCAATTTACAGATAGATTTGAAAATGGTGACTTTGCATTAAAAATTATGTGTGTGTGTCTGTGTGTGTGAGAGAGGGTGTGTTATGCCTGTGCATGTGAGCTTGATGCCCTTGGAGGCCAGAAGAGGATGTTGGATTCCCTGGAGCTGGAGTTAAAGGCAGTTTTGGCCACCTGGTGTGAGTGGCGGGTGTGCCCTTAACTGCTGAGCTCTCTCTCTAGCCCCAACACTGTTTATTCTTCCAGGTTGGACATAAACTACATAAACACACACTCCAGAGTGACGGGGAGACCGCCTCAAGTGTTCCTGATGACCTCTACACAGAGGTGACACCAGGGAGGAAGGACGCGCAGAGGGAGGTACAGAGACGTCTGCAGCGGTTCGTGGCTATACTATGGAATGGCATTCCTAATAAACCGTCTCTGGCAATGAGCTGAGATGGGCCAGGTGACAGGGAGTTGATGCAATGAAAACTTCAGGTATGCCTAAGATTAGGAGGGCAAGGGAGAGAGGAGCAAAGAGGGAGCAAGACCAGCGCCAGGCACTCTGTCGGGAGTTCTTCCAGAAGCACCTCACCTGCCCCCACTGCTTCTCACCTCGCCCATTTTACAACTCTGGAGGCCCAGAGATTCTACTGATTAAAAAAAAAAATACTTTATTTATGTACTCATGTGTGAGTGTGTGTGTGCATACATGCCAAGGCACATGTATGGAGCTCAGAGGACAACTTATGGAGCTACGATGTAGCCCCTTGAGCCCAGGTGGCCAGGCCTATGGAAGGTTCACCTGCTGAGTCATCTCACCCACTGACTGCAATAGCCAAGGGACACAGCTCAGGCGCCGGGAGTCTAAACAAAGGCGGACTTATTTAGCTCCAAAGTTCAGGTTATAATCTAAGATACCACCAGCAATTCATTACTGGGCTAAAGTTGTTTCCCAAGTCATTGTTCATATTAAAAAAAAAACAACCCACACCTACACACACCCCCCCCTCAGAAATCATTCTCCTGATACATATTACACATAATTATTTTCCTATCTAGACTAATATTGTATTGCTCTATAGATGTACGCTGCAAACCTATGTGTTTCCTAGAAACAGCACAGAGGCAGCTCCCACTCTGTGCCTCAGTTTCCCTGCCTATTAAATGGTAGGATGATCTGTGCCTACCTTATGTGGTTGATATGGATCGGTACCTGTGAAGCACGCACCATCAAGTCAACCATGAGTTGTCAAGACAGCTCGCACATGTCCGATAGGACCGCCCAGCACTGTGGATGTTACTGCCCCTAATTTCCTTTCTGCTACCCTCTTGCCCCCCTCTCTTTGCAGTGATGGAGACAACGAGCTGACTGAGCCTAAGCCTATGTCCCTCAGTCAGAGGGGACCTCAGTGGAACCGACGAGCTCCCACCACACTTGGCTCACAGGAAGTGGTGGGCCTTGGCCGAGGCCAGGCTCCGCCTGACTTCCACGTTGCAGGCTCTCTACTTAGTTCCAAAACAGCGCAGCTGGACATGGTGATGCAAGCTTGGAATCCCAGCTCTCAGGAGGCTGAGGAGCAAAGGAGATCAAGGTCATCCTCAGCTACGTGGTAAATCTAAGACCAGCCTGGGCAGGCTACGGGAGACCGGTCTGCGAAACAGTGGCAGCCCTCAGGGTAGCGTGGGCAGCTCCCAGGAGATCTGGAGGCTATGGCCAGGATGGCATCACAATGTCACACCTTATCTCAATTTTGTGCTATCTTCAAATACTCCCAGCCCTGCTAGGCAGCTCACGGCCTGTCAAAGTCATTTATGGAAAGGGAAGGCAAATTTAATGACGCTCTCTGGTGGCTCTTTTTAGGAAATGAAAACAAAGAGCGCAAGCTCCAGTTCTGTCTGCTCCAGGCAGGCTTCGCCTTGCTCCAGTGCTCCGGTCAAACCGCCAGTAGCCTCACCTCGCTAGGTCTGGGACCAACTGCCGATCTCCCTCAAACCCGGCTCAGCAGCACCTGACACAGTGCCCCCTCCCCTCCAATGCTCCTCTTCAGCTCCTCTACCTAGTTCCTGTCCCCTCTGTGAACTCGGAGGGCGCAGGCAGTCTCGCGCTCACATCCCATCTTGACGCTGACTCAGGACTATCCCCGAGGCCTGCCCTGACCCCGGCACCTGGAACTATACTGCACCTCAGTCCTGCACCTCAGTCCTCCGCCTCAGACGGCCACACACACAGTACCCAGCCTCACTTCCTGCTTCGCCTTCTCCACACTCAAGTGTTCAGGAACCCTGCTGCTGGTTCTTGGAAATGTGTCCAGAAGCCCGGTACTTCTCACCATTTCCTCTGTCGCTATAAAGAGTCATTTATACATGTGTGTGTCACTCAGACGAGGGTATCAGATCCCCTAGAGCTGAACTTAGAAGCCACTGTGAGCTGCCGGTCATGGGTGCCCAGAACTGATTCGGATCCTGTGGCTAAAGAGCAAGCGCTCTGAGCCCCTGGGCCACCTCTGCAGCCCACAAGCTGGTATTTATGAATTAGAAACTGCGGTGGCTTCCTGATGGTCTCCCTTCTTCTCACCTCTTCAGGTCCATCACGTAAGCAATGGCTACAGACATATTTGACAGCTGGAGTGGGGCCTGGGGTGCTCCTGGCACCTAGTGGCAGAGACATGCCATGCCCCTATCCATCTTGCAAGGATAGCATAGGTGCCCAAACTAAGCAGTCTTGGCCTCAAGGCCCTGCTCAGCACTGCGGGGATCCACAGTGGATGTGAGAGCATTGCCAGCTCTACTCCCGGCTCCAGCGGCTTCTCACCTCATACACTCACAGCTCTTCCCTGGAAGCTCCACTTGACCCAGCTCTCCCTGCTTCTCAGCCCACTCCCGGTTTTCTGTGTTCACCCTGCACAGCTGCCCTTCTCAGGCCCCTCACCTGGTGCTGCCACTGTCTAAACGCTCTTCCCAGTGTGACAGCACAATCTTGTTTCTTCAAAAGCCACCTCCCTGAGGTCACCTGAGTAGCCGACCTAAAACTCCAATCTGGGTCCCAAGCATTACAGGCCCACTTCCTGCTTTATTTTTTTCCCTGTGGCACTCAACACTACCATCCTACATATTCATATTTATTCTTCTTCATGTGGGCAGTCTGGCTTCCTCACTAGAATTTAAGTCTGTAAAGGAAGAGATTTTTCATCGCTTTGGTTCGCTACAGTACCATGAGTGTTAATATATAATATATAGTATACACACGTACAGTATATGGCCTGTATAAAGATTCATTAAATTAAGTAATGGTCTGTAGTGTTTAGTCAATAAATACTAGTTGAATTAATGCTTTTGTTTGTTCTTGTTTGTCAATTTAATGTATATGACTATTTTGCCTGCATGTAAGTCTCTGTACCAAGTAAGTGACTGGTACCCTTGGAAAGCAGAAGAGGGCACTGGGGCTGGAGAGATGGCTCAGTGGTTAAGGGCATTGCCTGCTCTTCCAAAGGTCCTGAGTTCAATTCCCAGCAACCACAGGGTGGCTCACAACCATCTGTAATGGGGTCTGGTGCCCTCTTCTGACCTGCAGGCACACACACAGACAGAATATTATATACATAATAAATAAATATTTTTTTTTAAAAAGAAGAGGGCACTGAATCCCCTGGAACTGGAGTTACAGACAGTTATGAGCTATGGGTGCTGGGGGCTGAACTTGGGTCCTCTGGAAGAGCATCAAGAAAGTGCTCTTAACCACAGACCCAACTCTGAAGCCCTGAATGAATGCTTTTAATGAAGGCACATTCTCGCAGGCCTTGATTTGATGACATGAGGCAGAGCTTGCGGGATAAACCGGGTAGGGCACGTCTCAGCATGCACTCTCGTTTCTTACTCTGTAATGGGGGACGGGCTCAGGACTCTGCTCAGTCTGGCAAACACTCCACCATGGAGCCATAATCCCTTTCCCTTCACTGTGTGTCAACTTATTTCACCTCTGTGGCTCTTTTCCTTGTCTGTAAAATGACAGACTCTCCCTTCACAGAGCTCTGATGAGAACTAAAAGATCTGTTCACACAACAGTAGCCAGCACAAGATACATATTAAGCTCTGGGTTTTTGAAAGAGATTATGATCGTTGTTACTTATTAATATTTGGCAAACAGGCTATTTGTATTTCTGATATCTCAGTATTTACTCTCTTATATAAATCAGCGTACTTTTCTCTTCCCCAGCTTTATAAATGAGATCTCAGTATATATAGCCCAGGCTGGCTTCAAACACATGGCAATCCTTCTGCCTCAGCCTTCTACGCCCTGGGCTTACAGGTATGATCCATCATCACACCCAGCCTTAAGTCAGTATACTCTTAATAAAATGTCACCAAACTACCTCTTTCACATAAGGAAATCCATTATTCACATTTGCTTACAGGAGGGCAAAGTGAAACGCAGAAACAGGCAGGATGGCAGGATGATGTGAGAACTGGCAGTGGAAGTTGACCTTCAACATAGAACTCCATTTTTTAAAAAGAAATTTGGAAGATTAAGAACACCTGTTTCTAATAACTACAGACCCACTCCAATCAGATGCCAGGACACGGGATTACCGTCTGCTACCTAAGCTGACCACCTTCCTTCATCACCACAGAACCTGAGAACTGACTCAATCCTAAGTCTCCACTCAATGACTCAGCCAATAAATATCACATTATTAAATATCACCCATTACTGCAAGTCATGGTGCTAAGTCAGCTTTTATAGGAGGAAAGGTCAATACTACTTAAGAAAATTCAGAAGCAAACTCATCCTCAGTTAATAAATTTCATAAACACTAGTGTGGAAAGACATTCCTAAAAAACTAAGGGGCTATAGCAATGTCCCAGCAGGTAAGACCTCTAACAGCTCCCTAGAGAGCCTGGGTTGAATTCTCAGCACCATCTGTAACACAGTCCCAGGGAATCCGATGCCTTCTCTGGGCTCCAGTGCATCAGGCATGCATGTGTGCACAGGCATCTATGCAGAAGAACACCAGCACTAATGAAATATAACAATAAAAGAGGTTAGAATAACCAGCCCACTTAACAAAGGCCATGTAACAACGTAGCACACAGGAAACAAAAAGTACGCACACTTGAGAGTACACGGAAAGAGCACACACACTTGAGAGAGAGTACACGGAAAGAGTACACACACTTGAGAGAGAGTACACGGAAAGAGTACACACACTTGAGAGAGAGTACACGGAAAGAGCACACACACTTGAGAGAGAGTACACGGAAAGAGCACACACACTTGGGAGTACACGGAAAGAGCACACACACTTGAGAGAGAGTACACGGAAAGGGCACACACACTTGGGAGTACACGGAAAGGATACGTGACTGGCGACGTGTTCCCGATGATCCAATAGATCGATAGGTTCACCATGAAAGCGATTACTCCAGACAGCAGTACCATAAGCTACAAATGAACCAAGAGAATCATTAAACCAGGAACAAATATGTCTCATTAGAATATGCAAAAATGCAAGCTTCATCCTATTTTTGTTTATTTGTTTTTCAGATAGGGTTTCTCTGTGTTGCTTTTGGAGCCTGTCCTGGAACTAGATTAAAGGCATGTGCAACTACCACCCGGCAAACACCATCCATTTAAACAAGATGTCACATGCTGGTAATCCCAGCTATACATTTTATGGTAGAGGCAGGAGGATCACTGCGAGTTTGGAGAGTGGTTTACAGAGTTCCAGGCCAGTCAGAGATGCATATTGAGAGCATGTCTCAAAACACACTGGACAGACGAGCAAACACTGCACCAAAAAAAAAAAAAAAAAAAAAAAAAAAGAGTTTAGAAAACAGCTAGGTGCTGGGGTACACCTTTAATCCCAGGACCCAGGAGGCAGAGGCAGGTGGATCTCTACAAAGGGAGTTCCAGGAGAGCCAGGACTACACAGAGAAACCCTATCTCAGTAAGCCAAAACTAACCAAACAAACAAACTTTCCAACAAGCAGTGGGAACCTCTGCAGTGATGACCTGGTGTCTGGAGCACATCTGTGATCCTTGTAATCCCAGCATTTGGGAAGGAGAAGCAGGAAGATCAAGGCAGCTTTGGCTACACAGTGAATCTGAGGCCAGCCTGGCTATATGAGATGTTATCTAAAACAACAACAACAACAACAAAGAGCAAAATAAAACAACAACAACAAAAAAGCAAACAAACAAAAGTGGGGGGGCTAGGAGATAGCTCAGCACTTAAGAGTGCTTCCTTTTCTTCCAAAGGACCCAAGTCTGGTTCCCAGCACTGTTAGCTTACAAGCACCTTGTAACTCCAGCTCCAGGGGAGGTGAACCACTGGCCTCCAAAGACACAGACTCAGACTAAATAAAATAAATCTTTAAAAAGCAAGCAAAGAAGCTAACAAACCAAAACAAAAAAAAAATAGTCTTGAATTTGAATTTCTAGGTTCATTTTTTTTTCTTATTCACTTAAGGAAGAAATATTTTCTTTTCTCTCTCTTTTTTTTTCCCCAGACAGAAGTCTTCCTATATTGCCCAAGGTACCTACATAAGACATAAGAATTCTGCCAGGCACTGGTGGCACACATCTTTAATCCTAGCACTTGGGAGGTAGAGGCAAGCAGATCTCTGTGAGTTTGAGGTCAGCCTGGTCTACAGAACTAGTTCCAGGACAGCCTGAGCTGTTACATAGAGAAACAACAACAACAAAAAAGACACAAGGATTCCTTTGGCTTCAGTTTCTGAGTGGTTGAGATACAGGCATACATCACTGAATTCAGCTTCAATAAGTTTTCATTAAAAACAATGCAAAAAATAAAGGTAAGCAAAACGACCTATGGAATATTTACAATTCCAGGGGCTACCACATCTGCTACACCAGGACATGGATACCTGTAGATAAAATTCTGATGAATCGTTCATTTTTACTCTTACTTAAATAAAAAACATTTCTTGGCAAGGCCATGTGAGGAACACAGTATGTACAAAAAGGACTTAGAAATACTTGAAGATAATAAGCATCACGACATGAGGAGATGGCTCACTTGATAAATAAAGTACCTCTACAAGGAGGAGGCCTGCGTCTAGGTAAGCTGAACTCATGCAAAAGCTGGCAGTGCTGTGTCTGTAATCCCAACCCTGGGGAGGTGGAGACAGGAGGATCCCTGGGGCTCGAGAGACCTTGCTACAAAAGTGGACCATAACTGAGGAAGATGCCCAGCGTCAGCTTCCGGCCTCCATGTGAACCCCACCCCCACCCCCACACTAATTGGGAGAACCAAAGCTTAGTTTCCCACAAATGATCAGGAGGCAGACGGACAACACAGGAGGGTAGAGCGAGTGGCCAGGATCACACGGCTTTGTGTTCCTCGCCCCCTCTGCTAGGCTGCTTCTCTGTTACCTAGGAGGGAAGCATTGGACAGTTTCCAGCCCAGGTAAGGGGTCTTGAGAGCTACATAGTCGCTGGGCAACCAGACAATAGGTTCTATATGACTCAAGGCAAAAGATCAGAACCAAATAATTGCTGATGCGATATCTTCGGTTTCCAGGGGGCTCTACTTTCTTAATATTTATTTTTATGCATATTTAAAATCTATCCACTAAGTATGTAGTCTTTATTCAAAACAGCCACTGTTTCTACAATCATGTTGTAAAAATATAAAATTAAAATTCAAAGCCCAAATTATGTGTGGACAAATTAGTTTGGCATGGACAGAGAGGTAGCCAGGCATTGGTCAGTTGTCCTAGTCGAGGGAAGTCCTTTCACGTTCCTGTGCCTCCGTTTCTTCATCTGAAAATAACTTCACTTGGCTCCCTTTGAGAGCAAACATGAGAACTGAGGCGGTGCTCTGGAATCCAAACACTGCCTTAGGAATGACTTCTGCAGTTTCTTAGGCACCAAAACAATCAGGACTTACCAAAGCAGAAACTGACCAGGGACCAAATATTCCTCCCTCTCCAAACACGGGCTCAAAGAAAGGCACAGCCACCAGCAGCATGGCGGAAGACATGGGAGCCTGGTAGTACAGCAGCTGCATGGAATTCACCTGCAGTTCATGCTGCTTGGCGCCCACCCACTGAAAATCAGGAGAGAAGACAAGTCAGGGGCGTAGAAAAGCGTTGTTCAGTCAAAGCCGCGCAGCGTCAGGCTAGGGAACAGGACACACCTCATTATTCTGCAAGGTTTTATTTATATTTTTGTTTATTTATTTATTATGTAAACAATATTCTGTCTGTGTGTATGTCCGCAGACCAGAAGAGGGCACCAGACCTCATTACAGATGGTTGTGAACCACCATGTGGTTGCCGGAAATTGAACTCAGGACCTTTGGAGGAGTAGGCAATGCTCTTAACCGCTGAGCCATCTCTCCGGCCCTTCTGCAAGGTTTTAAAGAGTGGGGAGACAGCACCTCAGATACAGGAGCTCTGTGAACCCGGTATGCGATGATCTACTGACCCCTCGATACCTTAGACAGGAAAGCAGTACTCCCTCTACTCCCGATCCTACTAAGTAGTGGGAATGTATGCACCCAGGAGCCCCGTGCATGAGGGCACCGAGAATCAAGGAGGGAATGGCAGTTAGGTGAGAAGTATCCAGTTTGCTTTCTTCATAAATGTATTAGGAACAATGGAGAAAAGCGGCTGTGGCAGGACTAGATAAACACTGACTACAGTCTCTCTTATTCTAAGCGGACTCCACGTCTGGCTTTAAAGGAACGTGACCTTCAAAGGCACTTTAAAACCCAAACAGTGGCAGAAGACATTTTCCTTTCCAGAGAACTCTTCTGTGGGGCAGAGTTCCCACATGCCACCAATCTACCTGAACACAATGGAGTAAATGGAAACCCTAAAACACCGTCTCATTCAGTAAAAACCTCAAAACCTCACATACCATGTCCTTAAAATACTTCACAAATATGACTAGAGAGCTAGAGAGACTCTGGAGAGTTGACAGTTCCAGGCAGATCTGGCAGGAGCAGCCTGGCTTTTGGACCCCTGCAGACCTGTTCCTACGTCTAGGTACCTGTTAGATAAAGCAACTCTACAGGAATTCAGCAAGACCGCGATGGAGAAACAGGAAATCTGAACCACGCTCCTGCCAGCTTTCACTAGGGGTCTTCTGAAAACAGAAAGGACAGGGACTGTTTCTCCCCAGCCCGCTTACAGGAATGCTGCAGTGAGCGAAAGCGGGAAGGCAGCAGACGGTGCAGGCTCGTCTTCCCCCTCTGGCAGCCACCCTGGCTGCCTCAACAGAGCCTCTGGCCACACCACCCAACAGACACCTTTTCCCACCTGCGGTCTCCTACAGCTCTTCCTCTTCCCTTGTGCATCTTTAAAACTGCTTCCAGGTCCTGGGGACAGAACTCAGGGCCTTGTGCACGCTGGGCAAAGTACCCTACCACCGACCTCACCCCCATCTCCACACCCTGAGTGTCTGTAACTTCTCGGTCACCACAGCTTCCTGGTCACTTTCCTGAGTCTGCAGGGCCATGTTTTTTCATTATTGGTTCCCCACCCCTTGAGATAAGGCTTCTCTGTGTAGCATTGGCTGTCCACCAACTTGCTCTGTGGACGAGGCTGGCCTTGAACTCAGAGATCCGCCTGCCTCTGCCTCTGCTGGGATTAAAGGTGTGCGCCACCACTGCTGGGCTCTGCAGGGCCATGTTTAAGACCAAGCTCCTCCTGTCTATAAATAAGCTTCCCTAGTGCTGCTTCTACCCCTAATGGTCTCCTCTCCCCCAGAGACCCAGCTCCTTAGAAGTCCTAGTTTCTGGCTAGTAGGGTCCTAATAGTTCTTCCTCCCAGAGAGCCGCCGTAGCCCAGGTTCTTCACTGTCCTTTTTCCCTGCACCCTCCACTGCCACTGGATTCATTTTTCTTAACTATAAGGCCCGGCAACACCTCTCCAATCTTTGCTGGAGTCTGCGGAATAGTCATTTCCTCTGAGTGACAGCAAGACAATGCCACCCATTCAGCATCACCCCCACAACACACCTAGTCTGGCCTCACTAAACGCGTTTCCCCCAAACACTCTGCGCCTCCACACATATTAACACTTCACTGCCGAGCAAACGTCTGTGCCTCCTGCTAGGGTCTACCGACTCGGACACCGTACCTGCTCTTTACTGTGACTGAAGCTTTGCCTGTGTCTCCAGCCACTCCTTGATCTACCTCCTCGCGAGCCTCGGGGTTACCGACCTTTTGATCCTAATCTACAGCAAGTCAGAAGCAAAAATAGCCATTTGAAGGAACAAAATGGCCACAAAACAACAACAGCAAAAAACAGTGAGTGTTGTGAACTGCAATTATGTATAAGGAGTAAAAGAAACTCTAATATTTAACAAGTAGACTGGGTATGGAAACACATTCTTAGTTTTTTCTTAAAAAGTAAGACAGGAGGCCAGGCACTGTGGCACATGCCATTAATCCCAGCACTTGGAAGGCAGGCGGATCACAGTGAGTTCCAGGTTAGCCAGAGCAATAGAGTACTGTCTTAAAACAACGACAAAACAAAAAAACAAGAACAAAAAATCAGCTCCAACAAAAAGTAAAAAGAAGAAAAAGGAGATGACTCAGCGGGTCAAGGTCCCTGCTGCTAACCCTGACTCCCAAAGTCCGATCCTAGGGACTCCGGTGTTAGACTCAGCCTCTGCAAGTTGCCCTCTGATCTCAATACGCACATAGTGACTGGCGTGTACATGCACACATGTGTACTCATGCATACAAACGAAATAAGTGTAACAAATAAAAAGTGAAGAGAGCTGGGGATGAGGATGAGTGTAGTGTGTAAGAGTTCCTGGGTTTGAGCCCCAGGACAACCATCCTAGAAGTCTAATTAGCAGCAGTAGTTGTTGAAACTGTTAGCCGCTGGGTGACTTTTGGCTCAGTGTACAGTGCCTGCTTAGAGTGCAAGGAGGCCCGGGTCCAGTCCTCAGCACCCCGCCCCCAGGGATAGTATTTTCTGTAACAATGTTTCTGGGACAATCACTACCATCAAAGAGTTGGGTGCTAGGCTGTAGTACTGAACAAACATTGCTAACTAGAATGCCTTCCTTTATCACCTGTGGATACTTGTGACAGAGGTAACATTGGTTACATTTTGGCTTTGATTCCCCATGCAGGCACACCCTGAATTTCCAGACAGAGGTTTTCAGTATAGAGAACACTTGTTTCACTGTTCCCTACTCCCTGCTATTTCTCCCCACTAAATGGGACACAAATCCCAGTTTGTTGGGAATTTATGGTAATGAAGTGAATCCATGAAAAAAATTTAACCTCATCCTGGCTACAGACAAGGCACTGTGTTTGTACAAGAAGTTAAAAACCTAGAAACCACTCTATTGACCAGACAAATGATTAAAAGCCAATCAGAGTTGTAACACCAACACTTCTTTTGAGTTTAAAATATTTACACCTGATTTTTTCATGTCCAAATGTTTGCTAATATATGCATTTCTTAAGAGCAATGACAAATATAACCAACAAACTTATGAAGCAGAGCCTTATTGCTTTTGTAAACACTTCCTTGGAAAAAGCAAAATGACAACAACAAAAAAACTGTCCCAAACTCTGATGGTTAAGCATGGGTATTGCACACTTACAATTAGGTAGCACACACCCTAGTTTCTGTCTCCTCTTCACCAGGAGTTAAGACAATTGATCAATTATGCCTTGTTCCCAACAGTGTATTGTCTCTGCACTGTATTTTCTAACCTGGGGATACAGCTTCAAAATTTAAGAAATCTGCTAATAAGGCACATAAACAAAAAACATTACCAACCACTTGATAAAGGGACGTGACTAACACCCCAAGGGCAGCAAACACCATGCCAAGGGCGTGGAACTTCACGTCGTAGTAAGAGTTTAGGATTACACCTACAGTTATAGGGATCTGCAAAGAAAAAGAGGGAAATGCTGTTGAGATTAAATTCAAGAACAGTGTCTTACAAAACTAATCAAACACATCACTGGGAACACTGAACTGCATGTTTTCTTTGTTGGGAAAACTGCCAATCCCATGTAAATTAGAGTAATTTCTCTGCAGACATTCATATACAACTCTACATCTGGGAGAAAATCATGAATCCATGCACTGTGCTTTCTAGGGAAATACTATATGCATTTCCAGGTACGAAAATGGACCACCAAACTAGTACTTAAACATGAGCATACACATGTAAGAAGGACAGCATTAAGACCTGAAATACTAAGAACTACTAACCGCTAACATCATTTTAATGACTTTTATTTAAAGGTACAGGCATACCAGCAGTATGCCGCTGAAGGCATATCCTGAGATATTTTATGCTACACTATTTCGTGGCTATCATACGTGGCTTGACTCCCCGTGGGTAGAAGAACTTTTTCCTTTTCCTTTTCAATTTAAGCTTTCGCAGATATCCTGACACTGAACTGTACCATCTAAGGCAGCTTTCTCCCCTCACCATTTAAAGATTTCCATCATATAGTAAGTTCTAACCCACAGGAACACACCCTTTTACTAAGAGCCAGAGGAATGCCAAATGGCTTTTTCCACTCCACTCTTCTCTAAAATGGGCCAGGCAGTCACTATCTTATAGACTCGTGTGGAGTCAAGAGGATGGGAATGAGTCCAGAGCGCCAGGCTTATAAGCCTTCAATTTTCCCGGGAAGCAAGACGAGGTAGGTGGCCAGGGCGCTCGCGCAGCTACTCACCATCGTGAGCTGTATTCTGACGGAGAAGCTCTTTTGGTACCAGAAGGTCTGGATGGCTATGATCACCGGCGTGGTCATGGCCTTGGCCAGCTGATAGGTGCCTATAGTGTTGTTTTGCAGAGAAAGGTTGGTGAAGACCACAAAGCCACAGAAGCTGAGGGCCAGGAGGAGGAGCTTGGAGAGAGGCAGACTTTTGGGAGCAAAGATGCCCACTTTCTGGCAGATGTATAAGCCCAGCCAGGTGACCACGAAGTGCACCAGGGTCAGGCTCATATTGGGGAAGCCGTGGTGTACATAGATCCATTTGTTGAGGAACACGATGCAGATGGACACCAGCAAGTTGAACAGGAGCCCGGCGGCGATGCGCCCGTTGCCCCGGACCCGGTCGGCCAGCGATGTCATGGTGCCGGCCGGCGGTGGAGCAGCACCCTCGGCCAAGCCCGGGCTGTCCAGCCTCCCCGCGGGGCGCCCAGGCCCTCCACCGCCGCGTGCCGCAGCCGCCCGCCTCACGGTCCGGCCGGAGACAGGCGTGCGCCAGGAGGTCCCGGGCAGCCGCAGCTCCTGCCGGCCCCGCCCCGAGCGGCCACGTGACCCCGCTCGCATTTCCGCCGCGCAGGCGCAGTGGGCACCGAGCGCTGCCCGCTCTTGCCTCTCGGGTGCAGGGAGGGAAGCAGATGAGTAACAGCTGTGGCGGGTCACCCGACTTCCAGACAGCGTCTCTCGAGCTGGTAGACCCGGCGGCGCAGACCCCGCCAAGTTCACACACCATGGGTGCTGAACGATTTTAATCCTCTGCAGAGGGAAAAGCATTACACACGAAAGCGCATTTTAAAGTAACTTTAAAGGTCTAAATACACGGAAGAGCGGAGAGGCAGTATAGTTGTCATATAATTAGAATGTACTTTTGAAAATATTTTGGCTTATTTGCCTCGAAAACTTTTTATTTTTTTTTCGAGATAGGGTTTCTCTATAGCTTCGGGGCCTGTTCTGGAACTAGCTCTTGTAGACCAGGCTGGCCTCGAACTCCAGAGATCCGCCTGTGAGCCACCACCGTCCCACACCTCGAAAACTTTTAAACCACAGATACTACATCTTTCACCCACAAATTCTTTGTAAACCTAAAAAGCAAATCTTGGTCCAAGACAATTATTTTGCACTGCTAAGAGGCTTATTATAAAGCAGGCGGTGGTGGCCCACACCTTTAATCCCAGGATCGGGAGGCGGAGGCAGGCGGATCTGTGAGTTTGAAGCCAGGCTGGTCTGCAGGGTAGCAGCTTATTCCAGCAGCAAGTATGAAGTCCAACTTCAAAGGTCTGGTGCTGGAGAGGACTTTTAAGTTTTGTGTGTATTATTTCGAAATTAAAATTTATATTCACTGTCTTTTCTTTTTCTCAGCTGTTACTGGTTCTCTGTAGATTTCACATCATGCGTTCTGATCCCTTTTGCCTGGACTCAGTTCTGTAATGATCTGCATGCATACTCGGTTCTTCTGCTACAGTTTTTTCAGCACCATGTAAACCTTTTCTCTTGGAAAAAAATTAAGTGTAAGGGGAAGTTGAAAGATTAGTATGGTAAACATTCCTTCACCTTTTAGACTGTTCCTATTTTACCATGTTGCTTTTACTGTGTAGATTTTAATTTTAAAGCTAAACTATTTCAGCAAAGTACAGATTTTATGACTTTCAACCCTAAATATTTCAGTGTGCATCTCCTGATGCTGAGTGAGGGTACTTCCCTACATTGCCACAACTCCAAGGATCACACCTAAGAAAACTAGTATTTGCTAAACAATACTACTATATAACCTCTTTCTAGATTAAAAAAAATATTTATTTTTAATCATGTTGTGCGGGTATGTGCACACTAAGTGCAGGTGCTCTTGCCAGAGGGGTCAGACCATTTGAAGGTGAAGTTACAAATGACTGTTTCTCGGCTCATGTGGGTGCTAGGCTAATTTTTATTTTCATGTGGATTTTTGGATTAAATGTATCTCTATTCATCACGTGTGTGCCTGGTGCCCACAGAGGCCAACAGAGGGCATGAGATCTTCTGGAACTGGAATTACAGACAGTTGTAAGCCACTCTATGTATGCTGGGAAATGAATCCTGGTCCTTTGGAAGAGCAGCCAGCGCTCTTAACTGCTGAGCCATCTCTCCAGCTCCATTTTAAAATACTCTTGCTAGATTCATCTTAACTTTATTATTGAGAAAAATATTAAATTTGTTGATAAATGAGAAATTACTTACCTGGCATAAAATAAGCCTATTCTTTATTCTCTATTCTCTTTAAATTTTAATATGCCAGGAATTTATGATTATAAGAAAAATAATAAAATATTAATTTATTTACTTTATTACATAAGAGAAAACTAATATTTGTAGAACAAAAATGTATTTTGTATAATTTCATTAAAAATACTTAAAGAAATACTAATATAATACAAAATTAAAAAACCTAAATTTTACATTTTCCCCCATAATGCCAAAGGAAATATGTATATCAAAACCAAACAACCAAGCAGCCCCGTCATGGGCATCAGAGAGTGGATGAGTTATGACTGAGCTTCATATCCGAGCGGGTCAAGCCCCTGATCTAGAAGCATCAGAGATGATTCTCTTAACTTCTGCAGCAGTTTCCTCAGTTCTTCCTTAGAAAATACCTGACATAAAAAAAAAAATTAAAAATGAGAATTATCAACTTTTTAAGAACCTAATCAACCTTAAGAAGAAATTTTCCTTGAAGATCTGTGTGCCTCAGAGACCTCGTGCTGGTTTACAGGACAGAATACATACTTCCATTCATGTACAGAATATACACTTCCATCCATGTACAGAATATACACTTCCGTTCATGTACAGAATATACACTTCCGTTCATGTACAGAATATATACTTCTGTTCACGTACAGAATATACACTTCCATCCATGTACAGATATACACTTCCATCCACATACAGAATATACACTTCCATCCGTGTACAGAATATACACTTCCATCCGTGTACAGAATATACACTTCCATCCGTGTACAGAATATGCACTTCCATCCACATACAGAATATACACTTCCATCCACGTACAGAATATACACTTCCATCCACATACAGAATATACACTTCCATCCGTGTACAGAATACACTTCCATCCACCTACAGAATATACACTTCCATCCACGTACAGAATATATACTTCCATCTGTGTACAGAATATACACTTCCATCCACGTATAGAATATACACTTCCATCCACGTATAGAATATACACTTCCATCCGTGTACAGAATATACACTTCCATCCACGTATAGAATATACACTTCCATTCGTGTACAGAATATACACTTCCATCCACGTATAGAATATACACTTCCATCCACCTACAGAATATACACTTCCATCCACGTACAGAATATATACTTCCATCTGTGTACAGAATATACACTTCCATCCACGTATAGAATATACACTTCCATCCACGTATAGAATATACACTTCCATCCACGTATAGAATATACACTTCCATCCGTGTACAGAATATACACTTCCATCCACGTATAGAATATACACTTCCATCCACCTACAGAATATACACTTCCATCCACGTACAGAATATATACTTCCATCCACGTACAGAATATATACTTTCATTCGTGTATAGAATATATACTTCTATTCATGTATAGCGACAGTTTTTAAAAAGCAGACTAAAACTGGAACATTACTTTTATAAAATGGAAACAAGTATTTCCAAACGTCATCGTGCAAGCATATCAACAAGTAAAACGGAAACGTGCAGCGGCCCAGCACTCACCAGGTAGAGTTTGTGGCGCTCCGAGGACACCATGTCGGCCAGCTGCAGGCACTCCTGGTACTGACCGGTGCTATGCAGTATGGTGTGAAGCAGAAAGCACAGCATGGGCAGACAGAGCTTTCTGAGCAAAGCCATCTGATGTGTTCTCTCAGGGTCTTCCTCGGCATCCTAGGACAGACATCAGGCCATCACTCCACATTACACCTGTGATCCCAAACCCCAGCACTCAGGATGACAAGGCCGGAGCCTGAGTGCAAGTTCAGGGCAAGCCTGAAGTACACTGTGTGCCAGAGACCCTGTCTCAAAAATATAAAACAACAACACCACCACCAAAAAGTAAGTCATGTTGGGAGCCAATAGATTTAATGAACAACAAAAGGAAAATACTTGGTGTGTGTGGGGGGGGAGTTGCATCTGTATAAAGATGTATACGTTCCGTTCTTGTTATAACAACTATTTAGACAGCATTTACAGTTAATGGGTAGAGGTGATCTGAAGAACATTTACAGGCAGAAGGGTGTGTGAGGATTACATGCAAATATCATGCATGTCATTTTATGTAATGAAAGGGAGCAATCTTCTATCTTCTAGGTCCTAGAATCAATGCCCCAGGAATGCTGAGGTTGACTACTTGAGTCAAAACCAGGACAGGAAAACACTGAATTTCTTTCTCTAAAGCCTATCATTCCTATTTTAAAAACGTCTGTGTACATGTTTATGTGTGAGCTGGTACACACGTGTATAGGTGCATGCATGAGTATGTGCCCAAGTACTGAGGCCAGAGAATAACCCTGAGCAACACCCCCAGAACACCAGCTCCTTCGAGGTCTGGAGCTCACCTTTAGGCTAGGCAGCCTGACGGACAAGCGCCAGGACTCCTGTCATTCCCTCCTCAGTGCTAGCACTATAAGGGTAGCTTCTGGGGACCAAACATGGGACCCGGTGCTTCACGGGCCCAAGCCATCATGTGAGCCCTCATCACACCACCAAAAATTAAAACAAGCTAGCTTTGATCATAATATTATCTAGTCTACTGGATATTCTCTCTCTCTCTCTCTCTCTCTCTCTCTCTCTCTCTCTCTCTCTCTCAGATAGGACTTTAAGGCTAAAGACACGAAGATGAACTTTTAAAATATACTAGAAGAGACAGTACGGAAGTAAGATGCTGCTGAGTGTGTTTCTCATGCATCTAGGCTAACAACACACAAAAGAATCAGACCGAATACCATACAAGTAAAGACAGAAAATAATTACCATTCATTTCCCTCCATACGTGTAGACATCACCACAGATGTACCTAATATCTGAGAGGGCTTACCAACCTGACTGCGGTCAAGCCAGCAAAGGAAGGTCAGGTGATAGGGAGGGCTGAGTAAGAACTTATAAACTTCTAAGAGAGTGAATAATTTTTTTTGTATAGTCAAAAAAGTGGGGGAGGCAGGAACTGCAAGAACCTGTGGACTTGAGTAACACAGAAAAGAGGAGAGGGGAGGGGAGGGGAGGGGAGGGGAGGGATTCCAAGTGGAGACCTTAAGGCCTTCCCCTGTTTCCTTGTGCACCGTCCTCTGGCTCCTAGACCCCTTCCTGCTTCTCAGAGGCACACGGGGATGTGCTGTTTAAGTATATAAAGACAGCCAGCCAAGCAGGCAGTGGAGCTGAAATCTGAGCTGTACTTCAGTCTACTGGTCATGTACACATGGCATGGACTATACCCGCGTAAAGGAAGGGGTGCACTTTTCTAAGCAGGCAG